AAAAAAAATCCGGCTGCTGCCTCAAAGCTCCTAGGGCAGCGAGGGTGAACCTTTTTGGCACCGAGTGGGCAAATTGGAATGGGCGCATGCTGGAGTGCCGGAAATTCATAGACCAGCTGGCAAGCGTGTGCATGCCTGTATTTTGGTTAATTGGGGGGCGCTTTTGGCTTGAAAAACAGCCTGCTTTGGGGGCATTTTGGGGCCATTTTCAAGTTATTTTTCAGGCTGTTTTGGGGCCATTTTTAGACCTTTTTCCGGGCCATTTTCCAGTCCTCCGCGGCCCGCGAAGACCAGCTGGCTGGCGCATTGGAAACCAGAAGAGCTGCTGGCAACGGTGCGCATTCCCACAAAGAGGGCTCTGCGTGCCACCGCTGGCACGAGTGCCACAGGTTGGCCATCACGGCTCTAGGGATTCACATCGCTTGCCCCGGTATAAATACAAAGGAGAAAAAGACCTCCAAATCACATTCTCTACCTGATGAACGGGGAAATGGGAGATGTATTTCGAAGGATCGGGAGATCGCACCGCCTTGGCAATCTCCATGGAACACGCCAAAACTTGCCAGGGTTCATCGGTGTCCATCCACCACCTCTTGCCCTGTCACCGGAGAAAGAAAGAAAAACCAAATTTGAAAGATGACGGCAGGGAAGAATCGGCAAGCTTGGCTCTGCGGTAGCGGCGAGACTTCAAGAGGGGGGAGAAGCTGGGAAATGGCAACTGGGAAGCAAGAAGGCATCACCAACACCACTCTTGTCATCATCCTCATCGGTTGACAGAGTCCAGAAGGACTGATGGGCAGTTTACACTTTAAAACAAAAAATCAAAAATAAAGAAATTCACTTGTGTCCTCGACTTACCACGGCAATGGAGGCCAAGATTTCTGGTGCTAAGCAAAGCAGGTGTCAAGTGAGCCACACCCTGTTTTACGACCTTTTTTTTGTTTTTGCCATGGTTGTTAAAGGAATCGGTGCAGTTAAATGATCGTTAAGTCAATCTGCCTTCCCGCCATGGACTTTGATCGCGGGAAGCTGGCTGGGAGGGTTACGGATGGTGATCACATGACCTCAGGACAGTGCAACTGTCTTAAACACATGCCAGTTGCCTGAATTTTGATCACCTGACCATGGGGTCGCTGCAACGGTCATTAAGTGCTGCAACTGGTCACAAGTCACTTTTTCAGTGCCGCTGTAACTTCAAAACAGTCAGAATGGTTGTAAGGTGAGGACTACCTGTATCAGGATTTCTCAACACAACTTGAAGGTGCGTGGACTTCAACTCCCAGAATTCCTCAGCCAGGATGTGAAGCCCACATATCTTAAAAGGCTGGAGAATTCTGGGAATTGAAGTCTGAACAGCTTCAATCTGTCACAGTCGAGAAACACTGCTCTACCGGTAGTCCTCGACTTACGACCATAACTGAGCCCAGAAACTACATTCCCAAGCAAGACATTCATTGAGTTTCGTCCCATCTGACAACTTTTCTCTTGCCACATTTGTTAAGTGAATCACCGCAGTTATTAGATTAGTAACACAGCTGTTAAGTGAATCCAGCTTCCCCACTGACTTTGTCCGTCAGAAGAGGGGATCACGGGTATGCTGCAATGGTCATAAGTGTGAAAAATGGTCATAAGCAGTGGTGGGATTCAGCCAGTTTGCACCACTACGGGAGAACCGGTGGGTAATTTTCTGAGCAGTTTGAGGAACTGGTGGTTGAAAGAAATCATTAGGGCAGAGAACCGGTTGTTCAATTATTTGAATCCCACCACTGGTTCTAAGTCACGTTTTTCAGTGCCGTTTTAACTTCAAACCGTCGCTAAACAAACCATTGTAAGTCGAGGACTATCTGCGTAACGTTAATGGTGCGTGTTAGGAATATAATTCTAAGGGTTGGGTTGGCAATATATAAATTATGTTACAATGCTATAACTGTTTCTTTAAATCATGCTGTAAATGTGATTGGGTGCTGTTTCCTCAATCGGCCATAAGAGGGAGCCAGAATGACTGTTAGCTCTCTCTGTTTGTTAGATGCTGGGCTGATCTGATCTGAATGCCGTGAGCTATTATAACTTTTGCAACTGTTAGCAAATTTTGTGTATCGGACTGATTATATGTTACTAGACTATGTTATTTGGATTATCCCTTAATTGAAAGACATTGATTACTGACTGTCTTATCC